CTGTATAATTATTTATTGTATCTAGCTTTGTTCCTTCATTTCATTGGATATCAACATTGGCTCAAGAATGCTGTTAATATTTATTCTGTATTGATAGAAGTCTGTCTTGCCACTATGAGTAAATCCCCCAGTTAATATTTTCTTCTCTATCATAGCACTGTCATTTTTTTGTGAAAATGGTTATCTGTTTATTTATTACTGAGTCATATATAAATTTTCAATAAAAGCAGAAACTTTCTTACCTTAAACACTGCTGAACCTTTCTTGCAATGAAAAATTGACACTTTGGTTTGAATGGAAGTTTGTGTATCCATAAGACTTTTCATGTGGAAAATAGTCCTCTAGAATGAAGTGCAGGCTGTATTTGGAGCTGAGTAAGTTAACACAGTCCCAAAGGGGCCCTGCTGACACAGGAATTAGAATTGAACAGCAATTAATCATATTTTCTTAAGCAGTGTAAACTATTATCCAGAAAAGGGGTCATCTCTTTTATTAAAGATGTGAGGAAATGTGTGATCCCATATCAACTGAAAAATGCTAATATCTTGATTTTTCCATGTTATTCTTTTAATTTCATAATATTGCACTCATATAACTATGTCTTTTGATAAATCGGCAAGCTGGCAGAAGCTCAAGTAAAAGGAAGAGGGTTATTTTTTGGGAAATGGGTGATAGTAGTAGTGTGTGCAGGTGTGTGTGTGTGTCTATGAGATGAGGGACAGGGAATTTTAACAAGAAGTTCCAGGCTACAGGAGAAAATTTGGTGATTCTATGGTAGTTTCCAGTCACTCCTCTACAGAGAAATCTCAAACAAAGAAACCTCGTTCAACAAGTCTGGAGACTTAGAGAAAACAGTCCACGAGCATATAGCCTTATATATATATACGAGCACATACTCACTGCCATCAAGTCAAATCTGACTCATAGCGACTATTCCTTGGTTGGTATCACCACGAAAGTAGATTGCCCAACCTTCCTTCTGAGGAGTGGCTAGTGGGATTGAACTGCCAGTCTTCTGGTTAGCAGTCAAATGCTTTAGGCACTATGCTACCAGAGGTCCCCCAATAGAGCACATAAGGGACACATTTATGGAAAGTTCTTAGATATATCCAAACACCTTGTGGCAC